TGTATATCATCGTCAAACGTTAGATGTTTTTCAAAGTGATAACTTTGACATAACCAAAATCATTTTTGCGATTCCTAAATTAACTGCTATTTTCAAAATAGTAATGTTTTGACAATGATATGAGTGATTTTAGAAGATGGTAAAAGTTATCTTAGTTAAGTCAAAATTACTCTCAAACATGTCCTATATATCTCTATAGAACGAGAAAATGTGATAACTTGTGGATTTGTTAGTAAGAAACTTTTAAGTATAGAAATTAGAAAGTAGAAGTTATTTTAAATTTTTATAATCAAGTGGTTGGCTCCATTTCATGGCCTTTGGTCCATGAATTCTTTTAGGAGTCCCTACACCAAGTTATGCCCCATTGAATTTCCAAAACTTAATGTGTTGGTTCATTTTCTATTGCGTCTAAATTGGAACAATTGATATATTTTTGTAATTAAGTTCATAATAAATCTAATTTATTACAACCACACTATTAAAAATTGAAATTATAAACTTAGTCAAAAATTATTTAATTTTATCGCCAATGTGAGATCTTACGGACCTAGTGTCCCTCTAAATTTTTAATTGAGTAATCTTGGACTAATAAGAATTAATTAACTTTAGATAATTAGAACTTATGACATGTGAGTTCATAAAAGTCTCATTACTATTCATAAAATCGTTTCTAAACTATTTATTTAGTATAACAAATGTGTAACATAAAAATTTTAACCACTAATTCAAAGAAAGGAGTAAATGTCTTATTTGTTGATGTTTGATGTTGGTGAGATCTATTAAATTAAAACAAAATCTTGAAATTTTTAATTGTGTGTATATCTTATTTAATGCACTCCATGATATTAAATAAATATTAGAGGGCAAAATAATTTTTAATTGTGTGTATGTCTTATTTAATGCAATCCATGATATTAAATAAATATTAGAGGGCGACATGTTCTTAACCAAATAAGTTTAATTTTGTTAGTACAACATGTGAGGATAGGGAATCAAACTCGCGATCTTTTGATGTGCCTTAACATGGTGAGTTGATTTGATTGCATGTTAGTCCATGTAATTTTAGGAATTTTTTTCTTCCCTCTCGTTGCTTCATATGTGAGATTAGAAGAATATAATGAAGATGGTCTTTCTCGTCTTAAATTGAATCTTTTAAAGAAGTGTCCACATTCTACTATAATCTAGCACTTGAGATGAGATATATATTGTTGGTGGTTGATTTCTCACCAGCCATGTAATAGCTAAACAACAATGAGTCAAAATAATAAATCATTGAGGAGAATAAAGACAACTAGAACCTCCCAGAAGGCCAAGTCGAACTATATAATAAGATGGGTCACAGGTTATATTTCATGTCGAGCTGACCTACATCTCTTATCTCGATTGCTTGAGTTAAGAACCGAGCTGGCCTTCAATATTGCTTTAGCAGGCGCAAACCTCTTACAGCATCTAGACAACATGACGCGGTTCTTGGGATTGTCGGGGAGTCGTTGAAGGCTTGTTAGAGGTCCTGTCAGAAGCAAAATCTAGAGAAAGAGATCACTTCATTTTCAGGTACGCAAAACTATATTCTCTCGAGTATAGATCGAACAAACATTACTTGAATGTTGAAGTACTCACTCTATTTTGCATGTCTCTCGCCCGCTCATCATCTTGTCGATCCAACCTTGGCACTGTTAATAATTTTCCAGATCAAAGATATAGAGTGAGAAAGAATTTGTGTACGACATGTTATTTCATTCGCATCATAATTGCTTCTAATATATTGTTAGATCAATTTTAAGACATAGTAATATATTGCCTTCTTCGTAACTTGAAATTGTGGTAGAATTAAAATAAAAACAAATAAACAATTAATAAAGAAATAAAATAACTGAGATTACGTTGAGAGAAAATTTTCTTTTTAAGGACTCACCATGTAATATTCTGGTTTTTTGTTTATTTTTTTCAAGTATTTGACAACTAATTATTAATGTAAAATCAAGTTTGTTGTTTTTCTTTTCTTTTTCATTTCTATTTTTTTCCAAAACATAATTAAGAATATTATTTTATCATTTTTCAAATAACCAAAAATAAGGATCCAATGCTATTATGTTTTTCTTTATTGAAATGGGAGAAATGAGAAACAAGAAATAAAAACATTACTAAAACAGTTATTTTAAGATCCGTTTGGTAACGTTGTTGTTTTTTATTTCTGTTTTTTTTTTATTTTTAGCAAAGAAAAATTTACTGCATGGTTTCAACCTCCAAGAATTTAAGTACGATAAAACAACCTTTTTAACTCTTTTTTACCCTCATCTATATTTTTTTTACACTTCGTGGGTGAGAGTTTGAACTCATGACTTTTTTATGAGAGATAAGCCTTAACCACTTGAACTATGTTCGGTTTGACTTTTTCTCTCATCTATTGAGGTTAGGGGTAAGAGTGTTAAAAAAAAAAAAAAATCGATTCTCACCTCTCCTACGATTGCACCTTTCATTGTTTACCTCTCTCAAATCTCACAATTTTCAGCACACTTTGCTGTTCGCATTTAACTATCACTCATCATGGTTGATTTCTGTTCGTCGTTGTTCACACTGTCGTTCGCCACCAACTAATTGTTGCCGTCCGTCGCACTTCGTTGCAGCCTATCATCTGTTCCCAACCCAACCCAGTTCTCAAAAGAAGAAAAAAGGAAAAAGGACAACCCAATGACCCAACCAGACTCAACCCAACCCGAAAAAATATAGGGTTGAATTGGCCATTAATTTCGATTCCATCAAATACATGAACTACTCAACTAAAATTTCTCTAACCCAATCCAACCCAGTCTGTGAACACCCTCAAAGTAGGGCAATGACAACCCTTTTATTCATTATTTTACACTTTTTCTTAATTTTTCTTTCTTATTTATACTACCAATAACTTATTTTCAAATAAATAAATAAATAAATAAAGACGTACCATTTTTTTTACAATAAATTAATTTAATTTGTCAACTATTTAATTTTAATTAATCATGGTTTATTATTTAATTTGTTAAAATAGAATATTGCTATTAGATAAACTATACAATAAATTAATTTATATACAATAAATGACAGGGTAGAATAGTTTCAATGCTATAGAAGTTTTCTCCCACACATTCAACTCCGTCCTTCAAACTAGTTTTCTTTAATGTTTGCTATATTGGAGAAGAGCTATCATTTCTAAATAGTATGTTTAATGTTTGCTACATTCTAAATCAAATTCCTCAAACTCTATTACATACAATTTGTCTCACTCTATTACATAATTTTGGTGATAAGAAAAACCATAATTCGATTAAAAGGTCGGGAGTTATCGAATTCTCACCCTCACAAGTTGTTGAAAAAGAAATCGTTGAAATGGAAAATAAGAATCTTTGCTAACTAACAAGACCCTTTAAACTCACAAAAACTTGAAAACCTCATACAATTTGATTGTTGTTACAAGAGAGAAAGTTGAATTTAGATTTTACTTAGATGATCAAGATTAAGAGTAAAGTCTCTTTGAGGGATGATGTAGTCAGCCTAAGCAACGAATCTTGATTATGGAATCCATAATCAAATTCATCAACTTGAAGTAACTCGGAGTTTTGAGTTCCATGGATGAAACTTAGCTTTATTTGTCTTTAAAAAAAAAACGAACAACTTAGAGATGACTCTTGACTTTACTAAATACACACTTGAACTAAACTTGCCATAAATTGAATAACAAAGCTCCATTTTCGACTTCTCCATTAAATCCAACCAAATTAATCTAAGTCTTTGAGCATGAGATAGCAAAGCACTTGTTGAAACTTCTTGGGCTCTTAACTACGTAATTGGATGACAATGGAACTCTCTTTAATTCAATTAGTTAGGGTTTCACATATTGGAAAATTTTGAATTCTCTTCTTTCAACATGCACAATAAATATAATAATATGACAAAAAAAAATTATGTTACTAAGGTAATTTAGTTGGTGCAATTTTAAACATAACCAACTTTTTAATATTTAGCATTGTTGATTAAAATTTAATCAAACTGAACGTGGGATGAATTCATACATTATTGCCATATATCAAAGTTCGACTTAAATTCATTTTGGTGCTTGAACTTTTAAAATTAATTCATTTTCAATTCTTGAAATTTTGAAAGAGAATAGTAATTTCATCATGTGTTGTTCGTTTGCCAGATGGATAACAACGTGACTTGACCAATTATATGTGTATCTAACGTCAAATAGTAGGTGATAGTTGAATTGAATGAGAGAGATGCGAGGGGAGAGTAGAGGGGCGAGTACGAAAACAAGGATCCAAAAGCAAAAATAAAAAGGAAGTGCATAGGAGAAATGTAGGGAGAATTGAATACAAAAGGAGTTATAAAATTGAGAAATGCCAAATGGGTGGAGCCAGTGGTAATAAAAGGAGGAGGCAGCAGCAGAGGCAGCGGCAGCGGGAGGGGCAACCATGGGGTGGGTGGTTGCCTTAGCCCACGTGCTCCTCATAAATGCCATCAGACATAACCAATGCCCACTCTCCCTTTTCCTTTGCTTCTACACTACTCCCTCTCTCAATCTCCTAAACCCCATTTCCTCCTCTACAGTCTCTCCTGTCTCCCTTACGTTGCTCTCGCTGTCCCCCGTCGTCCTACTCCCTCGCTCTAGTACCTAATCTTTAAAAAGCGTCGAGTAAAATATTGTGTCTTATTAAGGACAACGGTACTCCAAATATCTCTACAATAATATGATATTACCTGCTTTGAGTGTCATCCTTCCAGAGCTACTTTTGATTTTATCTCAAAAATCTTATATCAATGGAGATAATTGTCGGATCATCGATCAAACCTCTTTCTTAGTCAATATGAGACTTTGTTTGTAAAACTCAACAAAGTTAACCATTTTTAAAGTTTAGGGACTTAATTGAAGAAGTTGAAAATTCTAATGTATCTGTTGTGCTAAACCAACTGTTGCTTTTGTCCAAATAGTTCCCACACAAAATCCGAAAAGTAATACACAGTTTTAAATGCATAAAGAGCCCTCGGCTTTACACAATCAATTCAAATTTGGGAACAAAAGGATCTAACCAGATCACGGTTTGAAAGGGCACTGGTTCCCAGCCAGACAGAAAAAGAAGAAAGAGAAAGAGAGAGAGAAAATGAGGAAGATTCCACATTAACACACTACAAGGAGTCAGTCATTTAGAGCAGTCCACTCTGAAAGGCTCCCAAAATGGGGTTTTCCTGCTGAAGAATCTTCCCACCACTCTGGAATCAAGAATCCTAATGGCCTCCTCCGATTTGATGCATCTTGGTGTCTTGTATTGGTTCACAGAAGAGCCTTGTGACACACAATAATCCATCAGTGCATCAAAAGCTCCTCCTTTCACCACCCTTATCTCCAATGGCCCTATGGATTTATCCTTGCTCCTGCATCTTCTGTACACAGAATCCAGACTTTCTTCTATACTTGAGCAGCATTCCTCCATCACTCCCAAGTCGACTGCGGTCGCTGCAGCATTCTCGCCCCCACCGCCTCGCTTCTTCAGCTCCCAAAACAGCACATAATGCCCTGGGATTGAGCTGGTGTCTGCATAGCTACTGTACTCTGTCAACAGAATGCCCAGTGGCTCAACCAGCAATTTTGCGTTTGTTATTGCCTTCAACAGATCGTCTTCATTCGTCTTGTCGGTGTCGATGCTCAACACGACGTTCCGACGATGAATGAAGCGGAACTGAGGAGCATTGTTGTGGAATCCAGTTACCTTTAGAATGTCACCAACTCTGTATCTGTATAGCCCTGAACACACACACACGCACCCCCACATGAACATTATTAAGCATGATTAGATTAACTAACCAACAACAAACAAATTTAAGCCAGGAAAACAAAACCCCTGTTTGAATCTGGTTGAGTTGAATAGTCTTTTTCTTCCCCTAATGAACTCTAACAAATGATGTGGGTCAGATCCCCAAAAAAGCAACCAAAAACACAAAAAGAGGGAAAGGAGTTTCACCCGTGAAAGTGGTCACCACAAGCTCGTAATAGCGACCGAGTTCCACGTCGACGAGGTCCACTGTTTCAAGTTTCCCCATCTCGTCGCCGTCGTCCCGAACTGCGCCCCCATTCCGGTGGGGGCCCGAACGAGCCAATTCTCCTCCGTCATTTCTCTCCACAGGCAGAAACTCAAAGAAGGCCATATTTGGCAGAAGGGTATACGAAACATCCTCAGGCTTACTCAAAGGACTAAAATTAATCCCAAAATAGCACTCAGAGGAAGCATACATGGTAGAAACCAATGGAAGCCCCCCACTGTAAAATTCCAATGTGGGAATATACTGAGCCATAGACCCTGTCACAATAACCTCAATGTATTTGGTCTTGGCCCAAATCTTCTTAATAATCCCTTCCCACGATTTCTCCCCGCACATGGCATCAATCAAATCAGCCAACTCCTCATTGGGCTTCGTGAGGATCAAAGAAACAGAGCTTCTGCAGCTGGGATCAGTGATCCACTCGCTGACACAGCCACTTCTTATGTTATGGCTCATCTCTTTCCAGTAATCTTCTAAGAATTTTATGGCCCTGAGGAAAGCCGAGGCAAAAACTGCGCCCACCCTCAAAACCTCGTCCCTCTGAATCAACCCACAAAGCAATTGGCAGTACATACTCTGCTTACTGTCAGAGCATAAAATTGTCTCATCAGGGCTTGTGTACACATTATACCTATTGAAAGGCCTGTTTCTGAAGTTCTTGCTCTTGTAGTAGCTTGTCAGCACTGGCCTCGCCATTAGCCCAGATGGGGTGCTGATCTCTGGCTTTATAAACAACAAGTACATCCCTTTTCCTTCCTCCAAACCACCCACATGCCTAAAAAAAGCCAAAACAGAAAGAAAAAAAAGTGAAAAATTGCACTGTTTTATTCATAAAGGAGATGTTTTTTTTGGTTCTGTGTCAAAGTTTAGTACTTGTTCATGATAGGGACGAGGAGGTTGTAGAAGAATGTCTTTCTGTCCAAGTCTTCAGCAGTGGAAGGCATCATCTTCGGCTGGCCTCCAGAAGTTCCGGAGCTGCCATTTTTCCATTGATGATGTTACAAGAAAAAGAAAAGTTCCAGTACAGAATGAATTGAATTTAGTTACCTTGTGAGAAGCTCAGTGATGGGTTGAGCTGAGATTATGTTGGAGGGCTCCCCATTGGCAATTCTCTCGATGTAAGGCTTAATGTCTTCGTAGTTGACCACAGGGACAGAGTTTTTGAAAAGTTTGAGGTCAGGGGAGGAGTGGCTGCAGCAGCCATTATTGATGAAGTTCTTGAGATATTCTGTGTTGGCATTTTGTGAGAGAATCTTCTGAATCACCTGCTCTTGTATTTGCCTTGCATTTTGTGTCAGATCTTCAAGCAGTTTCAGGCCAGATTCATTGTCGTTGGGGTCAAAATTTGGCAACATCTCTAGAGGAGATCAAATGATCAAACAGAGAGAGTTTGGGGATTTGGATGAGATCAAAAATTTACAAGATGGGTATCAAGAAAACGAATGGAACAGAAAAAGAAGATGAAAAAGAAGAAGAAGCTTGGTTTTTGGTTCCATGATCAGGTTATAAACTATTAACCATGGTGGTGTTGTATTAAAGGTACATCCCTTTTTGTGTTTTCCAGGTATCTTCAATCTGCAATGGCAGGGGGGGAGGCAGAAGGGGAAATGATTAAATAACAGATTCTGAAGGGGATTTTTGGAAATAAAAATTTACACCAAAAACAAAAAACAAAAGGGAGGAAATGTAAGGGAAGTAGAGGCTATGGAGGTCCTACACATGTGGCCTTGTCTGGTAAACTGTGAATTATTAAAACATAAACAAAAAATTATTAAAAAAAAAGGAAAAGAATTACCTATTAACAATTAAGTGGCTATATTTCCAGATAGCCTCACGTTTGAATGAATTTAAAAAGAGAAAAAAAAACAGCAAAGTTTAGAAGCCAACCAATAGGGTTATGTGAAGAAGATAAGCTTTAAAATTTGAAGTACAAAAATTGAACTATAAATGGCAGAGTTGGGCTTAGAGTGAAGTGTAGTTCTAGTAAAATTTCAATTTATTTATATATTTTTGGAGAGAGAGAGAAGAGAAAAGGACATGATTAAGAACTGTCTTTTCAAGCCAAATAATCCAAGGAAAAAAACGTATGCATATTGGCAATCATGGACATTTCACTTTACAGCTCTCCCCTGCTTCAAAAAAGATACCACTTTTTTCTCTCTTTTTCTCTTTTCCTTTCTTTTTTTCCTTCTTGTTTTCTCTGGCTCGTGTGCTAGCTACACTACACATACACTTGCATTTGTTGTGCTTAAGACCAAATTCATATGTAACCATTGTTTCACATGTATAATATTGGTTTTTGCCATTTAAGAGCTTGAGAAAAAGGGAGAAAAAGGCGATGTTAGGAGGGCCGTAGAAAGTACACCCACCTGGTGACGTAGTGTAGCCGTGAGGGATGAACTAGGTTGACCTTGTCCTACCATTACCGTCATACATACGCAATAATGGTGTATTAGACTGGGCGTAGTCAGTGCTAGTCATGCCACCGAAATCTGCAGTGGGAATCTCAGCCTACATAATTAACCAATTCATCGTCAATAAAAGAAATTGGTAATCCCTTACTAATTTAAGTACGCCGACTTGGTGACGTTAGTGTAGCCGTAAGGGATGAACTAGGTCGACCTCGTCCTATCATTACCGCCGTACATGGGTGAGAATGGTGTATTAGACTTAGTCACTAGTGTGGCCACCAAGATCTGCAGCAGGAATCTCAATCTACATAATTAACCAAATTATCTTCAGTAAAAGGAATTGGTAATCCCTTACCAAGTATGTTCGTATCCCTTCTGAAGTACACTATACTCGTACTCCAATCGATATTGACTTAAGTATGCTTATCTTTATCTTGCAGATCGCCCTAGCTTGCGGAAGGGATAAGCCTGATTCGTTGGATGGACATTCTCGTGCAAAAACAAAAGAATTTTTTTTTATTATTATTATTTTAAATTTTAATTTTTTTGCTGTGATAGGGAAGTTTGCAGCAGGAGACATGAAATAAGACCCACAAAAAGAGCTGCTGTCTGGAAAAGACAGAGTTTTGAACATTATTGAAAATGTAGCAGAGATTGATGAAGAAATAGCTTAACATTTCAGAATTGAACATCTGTAAATACTAGGTTGGGTTTGGGTTCTAATCACAATAACAGTATCAATATGTTCCAAATTTATATTTAAATCCCAAAAACTGAATCATTATGATTAACTCATAATAATGTTTCGACCAAAATATGCAAACCATCAGACAGACAACCTGTGGTTCTCATTAATAAGCTGTTCATATGTTCAACCCAATAATAATCCATTATATTTTGTAACAACCTCACATATATATATATACATCCAAATTCAATTAACGAAAGGATTTAGATTTTAGTAAATTCAGTATAAAATTTCACTCAAACTCGTCACAAATCCCAATAAGAATGGACCTGTAAAAGAATAATGAACACTCCAAAATTCAAATTTTAATCGGATTCTGTGTTGCCTTTACAATCCTCCAAATAGAATGTAAAAAGGCAATCAAATTTCTCATCTTTCTATGTTGCATCCATTAATATATATATATAAAAATTAATTAATTAATTACAAGTTTGTTAGAAGAATAAAGACCTTTTTTTCTTGGGATTGCTGTCTTCTTATGGAATGAAAATCCAAATCCCTTTGGAAATGAAGAAAGAATATATATGTGAAGCTAAAATTTGACCCTTCAAATGAAAGCAATTTAATTCCATTTACTATGAAAAGCAGAGAGATAGTACTGTCTGAGATATGTAGTTCACATTATCCTAAGAAATATACTATATGCTTTTTTTTTCTCCACTACTAAAAAGATTTGTGTCATAAATATCAAATAAATGAAATACACAATTTATTAATTTATTATTATTTTTTGGGAGAAAGAAAGAAATTATAATGAATCATAAAGGTGAAAGGTCCAAAATGTACTGCAATATGTACGGAAGATCAGCTCTAGTTTTGGAAGTTTATTGGAATAATATTGAAAATATGAATATAAACATTTTCCAGAAACACCAAAAATAGAACAACATCTCAACCTCTCACACTTTTGCCTGTCACGTTGGCAAATTATGTGCCCCATGACTCACTGCTTTATGTACTTTTCTTTTTCTTTCATTAATAAACAAAAAAAATATATATATTCGAGAGGGGAGGTATGTAGTAACACAAGGAGGATTTAGAGGAAGAAATTTTTGTTGTGTACCCGTTCTTTAGAAGTAAGTTGCTCTTCAAAGTTATCGCAACACCCCATTCGAAAGTGCAGTACTCGTCGATTGAAATAGAGAACCAACTTAGAGCATCAAACACGGAGGAGGAAAAAGTATTATTCTCTTTCAAAATTCCGGATTTAGATCTAGTTTTGAAGAAGAGAAAGTAAAGGAAAAATGTCGAAGAATTAATTTCATTAATTAAAAACCTTGGAGAATTAATAAATTTTATTAATTAGAAAAACGTTTAAACTTAACTAATTTCATTAATTGAAAAACTTATCCTTTTCCGATTTTCAAAATAATAGAAATAGTATTTAAGTAAAATTATTTTTTATCAGAATAATCTGATTGGTCATAATTGGTGGGGGTGAGATTAAAAGACGACTATGTGCTGTCATTTTAGCACTTTGGTGGGAAGGCAAAATTAAGAAGCTAAACAACAAATTAAGAGATAAATTATACATACATTATAATATAACTATATTTCAACATTCAAAACGGGATTTGCTAGATTTTGCTTCATCTGTCGTTTTCCTTTATTTTAAAACAAGATAAAAAGAAATTAGAGAATTGCAGAAAAGAACAAACTTACAGTCTTTTTCTTTCTATTTTTTTTAATAATTTTATAATTTTTCCCATTAAGTAGTTTAAGGGAACACTCCACCCTTGAAATGAGCAGTGAATGAGGAGCAAAACAAGGATCCACAGCCAAAGTTTGAGGAATGCTGGAACTATATAATATATATATATTTATTTATTTATATAATTAGCATTAAATAATAACTCCCATGGAGTTGACCCATAAGAATATATAATATATGGTAGAAACAAACAAAAAGAAATTAATGATCCATCTTCAGTTTATGATTGTTCGTCACCCTGTCGACAGAATTTATTTTGATCCAATTTGAATATTAAATAATAGGTTTCTGAAAGGCTTTAGCCTATCTATTTTTCATTTGGGTTATATACAAAATTTTATCCTTCTTTTTTAGGTGGATCGTGAAACTTAATTTGGTGGCCTAATGCTGAATGTATTTATTTATCTGTATTCTTCAACTCCAAGTAATTAAACAAAAATAAAGCTATATTGTTTATTAATATTTGATTAGATTCTTCATGTTTGCCACTCTGTATGGCCTTATAAATAGAAATACAAATTTCCAAAGGGAGCCGTATTTTTTCCTTTTGATTGGAGTTGAATTAAGATGTTTCCATATTAAACTATGACTTACATTGTGGTTAATTGTTGCAAATCTGGAAAGACATAGGTTGATGAGCTTCACGTCGGCATTGCGTAAGTGTAACGAACTCTTCATCTCTCAACTCTTGATTAAATCTAATACTAGTGTGCTTCTCTGTCGAATGCACACGGATGCTTAAGTTAGAACTCAAGTTAAGAGTAGATAGGTATGGAGCAAAAAAAAAGTAGAAGGTCACTAATCAGCTCGATTTACTTATTGTGGTGCCAAATTCTAATACGGGGTTGTGTAGGAAAAATTCGACTTACCTCAATTAGGGTTGTTCTTTTCGTTATATATGGAAAGGAAGTGAGAGCTTGAATGTGAGGGGTGGAGTTTGAGAGGCAGCCTGTCGTGCCTGGATTTAGTGAAGGCCATCAATAACCTCTTTTCCCTTTGTATGTTGCAAGTGGGGACACGCCAGCACCCTGAACAATTCTGTGAGGCTTTTCGCAATTTGAGTTTATGATCCTTTGTACGGGATATCTAGATGTGCTCCGTCCTAGTACGCATTAGTAGTCAATTCTAAAACCTATTTTATTAATTTTTGCTATTTGATTTATCAATCAAGTTTACGTATATATTCCAAATGTTAATAGTTAATTTGTTACCTAGGTTTTATCATTTTTCTTCTCATTTTTAAAATTAACCATGCAACAACAACTAAAATATAAGTCTTTTCCATTTAAAATTTCACGGGTACGTATTTAGTGTTTTTATCTACTCTTACCTTCTTTCAATTGAGAGAGGTTTTATATAAGCTAAAGACTTGTCTAACCTTTAATGAAATTGATACTCATCTTCCAATCACAACATCTACTCAGATTAATTAATACAACATAAGATTAATTTTTAATCTCACCCACACTAAGCTTTTAATAACTAACCACCAAATTTATTTAATTTCTTCAATTATTTAGGGTAATTGGTTGCTTATTTTTCATGTTTCTATTACTTATATAGGTAGCTATGGTAGACTCATATTATTTACAGGTGACTTTAACCGATCACCACCCTTATTAAAAATGAAAAAAGAAAAAAGAAAAAAAAAAACTAGGATAGAGAAATTTGTCTAAGCTCACTTCTAAGTGAAGCATTACCACAATTATTTCAAATAACTATCCAACAAGCCTTTAAAGTTGATTTGAAATCAAAGCAAGCTAATTCGCATATATATGGCAACTTTGAGTATCTAAATGTTAAAGCAAACTAAACTCTATGCCAAGTGAGGTATAAAGAACCCAAAGAGAAAAAAGCCAAGCAAACAAATCAAGCTCATAAATTTAAGCAAACACACTCAACATTAATCATTTTT